ATCTATTAAATACACCTCCACTGGAAGCTAAAATTAGGAGAATTTACATTCTTGCAGTTTACAACGTACTTCGGAACTAGGAAGACAGCTCGGTTGTAAAGGGCTTGCCCTGCAGACAGGAAGAGCCAAGTTTGCTCTCTACAACCCGTGTCAGAAAGGAAATGGAGGCTGGCAGTCATAATCACAAATCTGGGGAGGCAGAGACAGGCAATTTCCTGGTGCTCCCAGCCCAGCCAGCTGAACCTACTCAATAAATCCCAGTCCAGTGAGAGACCCTGTCGAGATGGAGGAGGAGGAGTTGGAGAGGAGAGGAGAGAGAGGAGAGGAGAGGAGAGGAGAGAGGAGGGAAGGAAGGAAGGAAGGAAGGAAGGAAGGAAGGAAGGAAGGAAGATAGAAAGAAAGTAAAAGAGAAAGATACGATGCCCAAGTTGCCCTCTGGCCTCGGCACACATGGGCACACGTGGCCCACATTCACATGTACACGCGTATGGAACTTAGACTGCTTCCAAAAAACTTTGTGCCACTCCTCCTTCAAACTATTTGCTAAATCAGCTGTGTACAATGGCCTGCACTGGAGCTGCTTCCCTTGCCTCGATGAGGCTTTCAGGTTGGTGGAAGGGTCTTTACACAAGAAAGGCAACATCTGTGTCAGCCCTAATAAAATAAGTGACTGGTGCGCTAAGGTGAACTGTTCAACCCTAGAAACAGCACATTGTTTTGCTCTGGGAACACGTAATGAGTTTCTATTCCTGTTATTTCCAGCAGCTTGCTAGTGTCTGTTGAAGCACAGTTTCTGGGATCAAAGGGGAAGAATGTCTCCATTAGTGACATCTAGCATGGGTGAAGGGCTTGGGCCATATGTGTGGTGTCTCAGGCAGGCTGGTTAGAACAGGGTAGGGAAGTCTGCACTCTAGGGCTCACATTCTGTCTGTGCGTTTCTGCCTTTGAGTTGGTGGAAGCCAGGAATCTATTTGTACAATCTGAAAGGTTTACTTAGTAGTCAAAAGGATTGAGGTCACAGACAGGTGAGCAATAAATGGCTATTTAGAAGGTTAATCACCTAAGACAATCTGCCCCCACCCTGAAACATTACAGTTTTGTATAATCAGTTTTAATCATTCTGTCAGCCTTGGGACTGCTGAACAATGTGGCTCTTTTTGGGGCACTTCAGTTCACAGACATCATAGGCCTCTATGCATCTGGGGAGCTGCAGGCTCAGGTGCAGGAAGGGGAGGAGGGAGCTGCAGGCTCAGGTGCAGGAAGGGGAGGAGCGAGCTGAGGGTCAGGTGCAGGATGGGGAGGAGGGTTTCTGGCTATGATGTGTTGATCTATCAACAGAGAGTCCTTCCTCAATTGTCAAGTCCCTCTCTAAGTATACTTTCTCTGAAGAATTGATCAATCCTGGGAATTTCTGAGGGGCTGGAGCCAGGGGAATCTACAATGGAATGCACGCTCATTTGCAAATTGGCAGCCTCCCACAGAGTAGAAGAAGACTTGATTCATAGCTTACTGGAAACAACAGGGTCCATTGAACAAACCCAACATTTAATGAACTCAAAACAGTGTGCTGTTAAAAAAAAAAAAAGTAAGTTAATAAAGCGGCTTTTAAACTGCAGTGCATGCTTATTAGCCCTGGCTTGAAAGGCCATATCTTACCTCAGCAGGGTCCCACTGCAGCTCCCTGCCGCTGGACCCCTGCACCTGATTTCTCAGCTACAAAGGAAAATGTTGATCGCCATTTGCAAAGGACATCTCTTTTGTGCCTGGGCTGGCTCTTCCAAATCACTTATGATCTTCAAATAGAAAAGGTTTCCTTCCTTTATTGCCTAGGAACTCATAAGATACAGGAGAGATGAGCTCATCTTTTGGGTGAGTCTTTCTTTGATGGGCTCTTTTAAAATCCTAGGATTGATAAAACCTTCTAATCCATTTTACCTGTGTTTGAAGAGTCTGCAAAGGTCTGAGCCACAGACCTGTTTTTGGATTCCATCTGCAGGGTTGTCCCTTTCACTCCAAGGGCATCTGGGGCAGGGGAGTGTTGAAAAGCAGAGAGAGGATTGAGTGGGGCATTAGAGTGAAGGTAATTACCACAAAGAATAGGTGCCTCCTGCCTTTTATCAAGACCAGTATCAAATACTGTTTGGCCCAAGCACATTTGGTCTCCCTCTGTCTCTTATGCAAATTAAGCATCTAGAGACCAGCTGCCACAAAAGTGGCATCCACTGCCCCACCCCACTCATTGCTCTCACCCTTGAAAGCAGTATCATGTACCTGATTGTTAGCTGATTCTCTGCTCCAAGAAACAGTAGGAGAGATCTCTTTTTCTGTCCCCAAGTTTTATCCTGATGAGACCTTTCTGTAAATCAAAAGCACCTGCTCTTTTGTTAGGGTGGGCTTCCAAAGAGAAGAATGTTACCATAGAAACACTTGGGGTTCATCTGGGAACTCGTGGACACAGTGCCCAGCCTGTGGGTGCCAGCCTTGGGGGCCCATGCTCCCACCAGGTAGTCCTTACTGCTGAGTTCATCCCAGCTTCTGGGCTCAGCAACTGTTTCTTTACTGTTGTTTCTTTACATATCTGAATCAGCCACAGAAGGAGGGGAGCCAAAAGCTTACAGAGGCCGGCTACTTGCCCAACATCACACCACTGGAAATCCGACAGAGACAGGATGTTAAAGCCAGAACCAATACTCATGGTGGCATACCACACCCCGGGCACTGGTGAAACTCTTTCCCATAGTGGGGCTGCTCCTAGAAGACTTTACACCTTTACATTCCTCAAATAGAACTTAACACAAGCAGAAAAGGCTTTCTGGGTGCGCGCAAATGTCTACAAACATATAATTAACATAAACATTAATTTGCACACATAGCTCATTTAATGTTCTGAATAATACTATGTCACAGACATTAACATTCCCTTCTAAAAGAGGAAGAAAGTCAGGCTCACAGAACCCAACACCTGCCAAATAACAGACATACAGCCCATAAATGGTCCAGGTGGGCTTTGGGCTCCAGGCAGGTTCTGCTGGCTTAGCCTTACAACATCAAGCATTGTGGCATCCATCACGCCTTTCCACTAAAGACAGTGTATGACCTCTGTGCCTAGATGTCTCCTGACACGGGTACTGACCTGGCCAGATCAGAGTTGGCTGAAAGAAGCTCACTGTTGAAGATAACAAGTGTCCCAACACAGGCAGAAGGGTAGTATTGAACTGTCAGTGAGAGACCAGAGCCCGTCCTGTGGTACTTCTGTCCTTGGCCTTCCTGTTCTTCTCCTCCTCAAGGATTGGGGACCTCTTCCTTCATCACTCCCTACACTTCAAGCACACACTCTCCTTGCTTTCTGTGTTGCCCACCCCCTAGTTCCTAAATTGGGGAGGAAGAAACAGCCTCTGATCTACCCATGTATTCCAGGGCCAAATACAGAGGTTGGCATACTTACCATTGGGGCCCCACGAACGCTTAATATAAAGAAGAGAAGGAGAAACTTGAAGAAGCAATGCTAAGCCCTGGAGAAAAGACACTCAGAATCCACACCTGTGAGATTCCACCGTGTGGTGTGCCCTGGTGTGTGGGAGCTGCTGGTGTTTCCAGGCTAAACGGAACTCCATCCCAGTGTTCAGTTTAACTCAGCCCTTTCTCCTACTTTCTTCAACCCACTTTGGCTCAAGTCTATAACTACATGGCTTGTGTGTTATCAAAACAGATATGCCTTCGGCTGCATGAATCCAGGCATCTGCAACAAGACAATGTGCAGCTGTTAAGAGAAAGCACATGGAACATACATGTTGCCAGAAACTCCTATTTGCCTTTTCATATAAACTTATCAGTCTTGTGTCTTGCCATTTGGCAAGAGCCTTCATCTCATTGCTCTCCTCCTGCCCTGGGGTAGGACCAGGGTGATGACCTCCATTTTGCAGAGAAGGAAGCTTAGTCCTGGAAATTTTTAATGGCTTCCCAAGGAACTCTTTCCTTAATCCTTAGATGCCAGGATAATAAGGCAACTCTATTAGCACTTATATGGAGATTGTTAGGGACATCCTGATGCTGCTGAATCATGAAATTATATATACTCCCTGGGATATGTCTGGAACTCCCACCAGAGAAGCATCATCCCCTGCGCTGTGTAGAGCAAGGTCTGGTTGGATGACCCAAGGTTTGGAGAGATACTAAGAACACCTAAAGGCATTGCAATTGAAAGTTGTGTTTCAGAATGAAGATATAGACACCAGAAAACACTGGAGAAGCTTTTGTTGTTGTTGTTGTTGTTGTTTATATATATCAACACAACCTATATTTTGTTTGACTACTAGATGTAATTATGCTGGACTGGAATCTTTGAGATTCAAACTTTTGTTCACCTACATATAGAAATAAGAGAGCAAGAAATAGAATGAGAAAAAAATATAGAAGAAGAGAATTACTACCTGGGATAGTGCAGAAAAGTTTGTCTTCCATCAGAGGGTTGTTTGTTTTTTATTTTGATTTTTCTGCACAGGAATGAAAAGTCCAGCCCTGGCTAAGGCAGTAAGGTGGGGGTGGGATGTCTGACTCTGCAAGGACAAGAAATTAGATTCAGGCGGTAACTGAGCTTCCCATCGGATTATTGTGCCCAGTTCCCTTTTATTCCCCCTGTCGTGGATAATGTGTGCTCATTGTGACTTATCTGGAGTTGGTTTCTTTTACACCCTCTAGATATATAAGGTGGAAGTAGGACAGAGGCTAGAGATCTGGGAGCATCCGGGCAGCAGCGCCTACAGTCCAGAGGGAATGGGGAAGGCAGGAACATGAGCGACCGCTCATGACAGTAGCATCCTCAGTGGTAGGAGCCCGGGACAGCATCACTGTCTCTCTTGGAAACTCCTCCACAAGATCGTAGGATAATTCGTTCTTACCCTGACTTAACTTTCCGTTCATATTTCCAATACAGAACAATCGAGACCTGGTACCTGGAGGAAACATCAGCATTTGGCCAGTTTGGTTTGGCCACCTGGCAGAGATCAGCTCTAGAGACACGATGGTGGCGAAAGCCTTCCTCTTGCTGGCACTCTTTGCAGAAGCCTTGGCGAAATCATGCACTCCAAATAAAGCAGGTACCTCAGTGCTACACTGCTTTTCCAGGCTGTGGAGACTATGGGTCCCCACCTTGCTGTGATCCTGGCTCCAGGAAAGGGTAAAAATGCCAGCCATCAGGTGGCACTGAAGCCCCCAGTGACAAGCAGCCTTCTCCCGCAGGAAGCAAAAATGTGTGGAATGAACCCATTGCTTTACAAATTACAGGGTATCTGTTCCCTTTTCCATGGGACACGTCCTCTTCTTTATGTTTGACTACTCAATGCATGCTGTGTGTCTTTAAACGATACTTTGTAGCACTGAGTGTGAGATGGTGCAATGGGTAGTTTAAAGTATAAGGAATTGTCTCATTTTCATGGGGATGCATATATCAGTCTGTGATTTCATGGGTATATTCTTTAAGATCAAATAAAAGTTTTAGAGTTGGGGCTCTAGAATGGTGGTAAAATTCTTTCCTAGCAAGCATGGGGCCCTATGTTTAATACCCAGTATTGCTGAAAAACCGTTGGCTCTAAAATAAAGTGACATGTATTAAAAATGACCCAATTAAATTAATATTAAATAGTGACAATATTGTATGCGACAGAAGTTATAAGAGAAGAATTTCAGTGGCTGCAGTTTGGGGCACCTCAGCCAGCTGGTCAGTAGCTGGTGAATGCTGTGTGACACTGATCTGCTGACCACAGCTGATGCAAGCCATGTATGCACTCTTCCAGACGTCATCCTTGTGTTCTGTTACCCCAAGACCATCATCACTAAAATCCCAGAATGTCCCTATGGATGGGAAGTGCATCAGCTGGCACTCGGGGGGCTGTGTTACAACGGCGTCCATGAAGGTGGCTACTACCAGTTTGTCATCCCAGATCTGTCACCTAAGAACAAGTCCTACTGTGGAACCCAGTCCGAGGTAAGGTCGGTCTGCCTAAAGCAGGCATGCCTAAGCGAAGGCAATGGGACACGGGTGAGATGTCTGCTGCCTTCCTTAAGAGGATTCACAAGAATCCAAATTCCCTTTAAAAGTCAGTCCCAGTGCTCCAGTTTCCTCGGAGGTTTAGCGACGGAAGCTTCTCTTTCAGCAAGTTTAGGTGACTCTGTGTGCTGGTGCCCAGGACCACGTGCAGAACGCGGACACCAGAGGTTGCCAGTGGCGCGGACGTTGCATCCTGGTCTATCCTCTACCTTCTCTCTTGAGATGGGTCTCTTTCTTAACCCGGAGCTTGCCGATCAGAGACGGGCTGGCCAGTGAGCCCCTGAATTCTCCATGTCCGCCCCCAGAGCTGGGACTGCAGGCCTGTGCCCAGGGCTTGCTGGGTGTTAGATTCAAAGCCGGTCCTTACGTTTGTGCAGTGCGCACTTTACACTGAGCCGCCCCCGCAGCCCTCCCTCCATGACTCTCTGCACTTGACTTTTAGTCTCCTAATTTGTTGGGGAGTGGAGATAGCAGCAAAGCTTCTTGCTTTGGAGAGAACAAAGCACATTTCTCACTTCAGGTTTGGCGTGTTCATCCCCGGGTTGGATGCCCAGGGTAATGAAGTGACAGGTAAGTGCTTTTGGAAGTGTTTTAACACAGACTCGGAGAGGAGCAGGATCATGTGAACCACCTGCGGCAGGGAACCATGAGCCTCTCCACAGGTGTCCTTCCTATGTGACAGGAGAAAGCTGAGGCCTCCCCTTAGAGCCATTAGTTCTCAGGGGCAGAGGTCTAAAAGCATGGCCCGCCAGGCTCCGATTTTCCCTGGGCTTCTTGTCACTCCATCTCCAAACATGTTTCCCAGAATGCTCAGTCCCATCATGGGCACAGTGTCCCCCCTAACTGCCGTCTTCCTTCTGCCAGTACAAGCCCCCCATCTACCACTTCTACAGTCACATCGTGTCTAACGACAGCACGGTGATCGTGAAGAACCAGCCTGTCAACTACTCCTTCTCCTGCACCTACCACTCCACCTACTTGGTGAACCAGGCTGCTTTTGACCAGAGGTAAGCCGCTCTAGGGATAGAGGGCTGGCCACCGTGAGGGTGCTACAGTCCCTGTCAATCAGGCATGTTTCAGTCCTTATGCAAAATTCTCTCCCCTTTTCAGAGTGGCCACTGTTCATGTCAAGAATGGGAGCATGGGCACATTTGAAAGCCAGTTGTCCCTCAACTTCTACACTGTAAGTCCAGGCTGCCTTTTCCATCTGTGGCCTTTTCCCAGAGCACTTCCTTGGGAGCCACTCTCTCCTGGCTTCTGGGAAGAGCCCCAACCCAGAACTCCAGGGGTGCCTTATGCCTTAGCCTAGCTTTAAAGCCTGGGTGCAGCAGAAGGTTCACTTCAGATGCTGCATAGAAGAAACGGTACAGGTGTGGCCAACCTCCCATTTCACTGATACAAAAATTAAGGCAAGGTCACTAACAGACAATAGGACACCCCACATCTGACTCTTAATCAAGATTACTTTCCATTACTTTTCTCTCTAGAGATTTATTTGCCATTAGGATCTCAAAAGTATTTAGCTTGGGGTGTTGCACTCCCTATAGGCTAGAGCTAAAGATAAGACTTAGGGCTAGCCTCTGCTTATCTAGTTCTTTCATCTCTTAAGCCTTATAGTAAGATTTCCTCACTGTCTGACTGGACCCAATGCCTGTGTTAACATCAAAGGTTAAAGGCACACTTTGGTCTCTCTCAAAATTAAGTGAGCCAGAGAAACTAAATATGCACTGGGCATTAGCCCAGCTGCTCTCCCATTAGAAAGGGTACTTTGTTTTTAAGCTGCAGCTTCCAGTGAGGACATAGGCACACAGAGGGGACACTGGCCCGGCTGGCTAGAGGAAGATGCAGGCAGAAACACAAACCTTTGTTCGGAGCAATAGAATGGGAAGGTGCCCTTAGAGGGCAGCACATCTGACCCATTTGACTTTGCAAGAGAAAACATCCCACTTGAAATCTCATTAACACTGACCTCGCTTCACCTATTGCCTGGAAGCCGTTAACCCTTAGAATTCATCAGAGGAGCATCCTAAGATAACCTAGGCTGTTTTCCAAATAAGGATGTGAAGCCCAAAAGAAGGGAGGTCTTTGCCCAAGACCAGGTGCCTTGGAGAAGCATGTGGTGAGAACAGAGATTCCCAACTGAGGTTCTTCCTGCAAAGGGCGTGGTGTACAGCATCATGTCCTTTCACCCACAAAGGCCTTGTTTAATCTGGGATTCAAATATTTTACTCTTTTTAAAAAGTATTGTTAAAGAAGGATCACTAAGATGCATAAGCCTCAAGTTCTTAAAATCCAGCCGTGGCTTCATAGCACTAGTGGCTGAACCACAAGGCCGCTTGACCTGTCTTCAGGGTCAAGCATGGGCATAAAGGGGGTGATGAAATGATGGTGAAACAGCTTCCCACAATGGGAATACAATCTTTACTACAAGCCCCTGCCTGGAAGTGAGTAGTTAGTATTCTAATGAGATAAGGTTGTAGATTTGATCCTATGAATGTTTACAATAGTTTGATAGAAATCAGGGCTTTAAAAAACTCAGTTCCCACCATGAACCACACAGGGTTAAGTTTCAGACATAGACAAAACCTCAGAAGTAGAAATAACATGCTCTTTTAATCAATCCATCAATCCATCAATCAGCTAAGCAGGCCATCTTCTGAAGAAACAGAAGGGACAATTACTTCCCTAATTGTCTAGAAATGAAGCTAAGGTGCCCTAAAACCCCTCCAGGACAAGTAGATGCAGCAGAGAGCAGTTCCCAATGTCCAGAGGCTTTTGTTCTGGGTTATATTCTGCTGTGGGCTCAGTTTCCTACTAACCCATGTATTTCCACCCTCCCCTTTCTCCCTTGTCCACTTTGAGGGCATTCTTGGTTATTTCCAAAGCAACAACTGCCCTGTTGCATATATTTCCATCAAATTACCAGAAACAGAACCATGCCCTACATAGGACAATGGAACCAGCACACTGCTAATTGCTTAAGATTCTGGGAAGTGCAGAGCCTGGGCCCCCATACACTCCTTCTACTCTGCATGTGTCCTCTCTCTTCTTTCTCTCCATCCCTTCCCACTCACTTTGGCCAAGGACCCATAGTTGATATTCCCAGGGGAAAGTGATGACTCCCAATTGAAGACAAAGAAAGGTTGTTTGTTTACAGACATAGCCTGGCCCTGTGAGTAAAAAGCGGGGGAGGGTGGTGCATACCACAAAGCCTTGTTTTACCATTTACTAGTTAAATGACTTTGGGAAAGTTAGGGAGCCTCTCTACACCTGCATGTCTGCATCCATCACGTAAAAACGAAGTGATGCATATCCCTTAGATATTAGGAAGACTTGGTGGAACCATCTGTAGAAGTACTCACCATAGCATGTGAACTTGGTAAGTACCCAAGAAGACAACTGTTTTCATGAGTGTAGACTGAGGCCAATTTAACATGGGTGCTCTGAGTGTTTTTAGATCTGTTGCTTTTATACAGATGAATATCAATGTCAGTGTGAGATTAGATTAACTTCTTAAAATCCAAATAGTACTGACCATTTTTCTTAGTGATACAGATAGAAATGAAAAGTCTTAGAGTGAACATAGACAAACAACAGATTAAAGGTCCTTCCAGAATCAGAGCCAACTGCAGAGGTGACCCCTTGATTTTCCACCTGAGATTCACAGCGCTTCCACAGCTGAAGGGTGGCCACGCCACCTCTTTCAGGATACAGGTGAGCTGTACCTTGTGTTTTAGATTATCTTGTAAAATATGACCTCTGAACTCCTTTCTTAGTTCTGTCTGCTGAAATAATTTTGTGGAATTATGTTGGTCACAGCTCTCCAAAGAGTGCCCATCAAGCTAAACACTTTCTTACTGGTTCCTAAGCCATCCTACTTGCCTTCCTCCAAGCACAAGCCAGGTGACCAGTGCCCCTGTTATCAAAGGGACCCAGAATTGAAATGTTCTATTCTAGTCCTTTGTCAGGCCAATTAGAGGCACAGAGGGCCACAGGTGACAATCCAGGTTCTGGAAGACTCTAGGAATGTGTCCCGGAGTCGTACTTGAGCTAGTTTCCTTTCATCACTATCTCACCTGTGAACAAAAGCAACTACCAGACTTCCCCACAAAAATGTCTGCTCAGTGAGGCATACTTATCTTTAGCTTGGGTGACTAGGTATTTCTGAGTCAACCTTTTAGTCAAAGGAAGGAATGTTGGAACATGGTTTCTCAACAGATCCATCCATCCTGTAGGACACAAAAGTAGTTTGTGTGGATTTTGTGTGGATGAACTTCCCTAGCATGTAACAGCTTCCAAGGTAAAGCTATCTGAAGGCATGTTAAAGAGAAAGTAGGGGATACCAGACATGTTGGCACGGATTTGTAACCACAGCAGTTGAGAGGCAGAAGTGGGATTGTTTGGATATTGAAGCCAGCCTGGTCTACATGGTAAGTTTCAGGCTAGGCAGAACTGTATAGAAAGACCCAGAAAGAAAGGGGAAAAGAGGGAGGACATATAGAGGGAGGGGAGAGAGAGGGAGGGAAGCAGGCAGGGAGAGAAGGAGGCACTGGAGGAGGGAGGGAGGGGAAGGGAGGAAGGGAGGGAGAGAGAAAGAAGGAGGGAGATAAGAGAAGGAGGGGGAGAAGGAAGGGGAAAACATGATACACATTATTGTAGTTATCAGGAATAAAAAATGCCACTTCTGTCCTTCATTTTGGTGAAAACTGAACAATAGTTCAACCAGTAGGAGACATCACACTCCACCAGCTGATCCAGGAGAAAAACTTCACAGAAGCATCTCTGGAGATTGGGGACTAAATTGCCATTTCCAAGTTAGTTTCCATGTTTGAAATCTCATAAATTTTAGGCAAATACTGAAAATACTTTTAAAACCACTGAAAAGGTGTCACATCAGCTGCATGCTATGCAAGCAGATCGCTTATGACTGAAAACATTATTGCTTAATTGTGGCGACCATGAATGTGGTGCAGAGGCCTGAGAAATGGAAAGGAGGGAGCCAGCTTCTAGGTGGTTGACTACAAGAGCCTTGGCTGGACCTGCTTCAATAGCAGAACATAAGAGAGACATGTGGAGTCTTCTCACAAAGCCTCCACCTGCTGGACCCTTAGGAGGCAAAGTTCACTCTGACTGGAAGTCAGCTCTGTCCACCGCTGCAAGTCTCTAAGCTCATAAATTGAGGTTTGGAAATACCCTAGTCTGAGCTCTGTTTCTAATCTAGTCCCATCTCACAGGAACGAAGAAACAGAGTTCCAAAGGCTAAGTCCCTTCTACTGGGTCTCAAGTCAGCAATGGGGGCACCAGGGCGATCCTGGGGTCTGAGCCCTTCTGGCCAGTGTCTCTGTCATGGCTAGCACCAAAGAATAGTTCCAGGTTCTTACGGCATGGAGAAGCTGCCTCCTTTGAGGAACTCAGCACAGCTGTAATTCCTAATAATTCCCTGAACACTATCTGAAGACGGTGGACTTAGTCCCTGGGCTAGGGACTGGATGGACCCTGACACCCCTGACGCCCCTGAGTAGTAGTGACCTTTGACACAGTCCATTTTCGAGGCCTGCTCTTTTTAATCCACTGCATGGCACTATAATCTCATTCCTCTTTCCACTTCCCAAACCTCCTCCAGACCTGGCCTTCTTGCTGTCCTGCCAGCCACACCCTTGTCCTGAGGCCTCAGCCCTTGCGGGAGCACCCTTTCTGTTGTAGCTACACAGTCTCCTTCCTCCTCTTCCTCATGCCTTGTTCAAATGCAGCCTCCTCCATGGGGTCTCCTTGACTGCCCTTTTCAAAGCTGCAACATCGGGCTGGGGAGATGGCCCTACCGGTGAAGTGCTGGCCGTGCAAGCGTGAGGGTCTGAGATCACTGTGCAGGATCACCTTAAAGACAAACAAGCCGAGCATAATGGCACGTGTAATCCCAGTTTGGGGAAGCAGAGATAGGTGGGTCCCTGTGCTTACTTTCTGGCCAGTGTAGCACATTTGGTGAGTTCTGGGCCAATGAGAGAGCTATCTTAAAGTAGGCAGTGCCTGAGGCATGAAACCCAAGTTGACTTCTGGCCTTCACATACATGTGCAGAGACATACATGCATATCTTTATGCACTCAAATAGCCGTCCACACAAACCATGCATATGCGTGCATACACACACATACACACCTTCCTCATGTTCCCAATCCATTCTGCTATTTTTGTGGTTTCCAATATTACATACTAAGTGCTAGTCTAATATGCTGTGTAATTTACTTTGTTTTTATGGTCGTTCTCTCCTGCTAGACTATCAGAGCATTTATAGACAGATCTTGTTCACTCACAAACATTACATCTCAATACACAGTGTATCTTAACATAGAAACTACCCAAATATGTAAAACAATACCCAGACACATCACAGGCAATCAATGAGTTGTGCCTGGTGATAACCACACTGTTAATCAAGTCATGAACTTTCAAGCCCAGGTGAACATTTGCTCAGACAAAGCACGGGGATCAGGGGTAGTGAGGAGTTGTGTGCACTTGGTTCTTCTTGGCCTTGAGTGATTTGTGAAATAGTCTTGACATCCTTGGATTCCCTTATTTTCCTGTCAGTCAGTTTTGATGCCATCACTGGAACAGTGTGTGTCTAACCATGACCAGCAGATGCCCTTACCCCTTCTAAGATGACATCAGCACCCTCCGAGATTGTTTCTCTGGCTCTGGTTTTCTCTATGGTCTCACGTGCTTGTTCCTTGGGTTGGTTCCCTTCCTACCCAACCCCGGTGTCTGCCCCCATCAGACCTGACTGTTCATTCTGAGAGGTGGCAATGCCTGATGTCCTATTTCCTTTCCAAGAATGCCAAGTTTTCCACCAAGAAAGAAGCTCCCTTCATCCTGGAAACATCCGAAATCGGTTCAGATCTGTTCGCAGGAGTAGAAGCCAAAGGGCTAAGCATTCGGTAAGTTCCTTTACTCCGTGTGTAGATTTTCAAGTACAAAGGAAACAAGAGCATCAGACAGACTCTAGGGCTCAGGAGGGTCTATGAGGGACTGGGTCTTAGTGATGCTGCATTGTGTTATTTCCAGGTTTAAGGTAGTCTTGAATAGCTGTTGGGCCACCCCTTCGGCTGACTTCATGTACCCCTTGCAATGGCAGCTGATCAATAAGGGGTGAGTACTTGCTGAAGCCCAGGCAGAGCAGTGGGCCCAGGGTAGCCTGCTCTTCTGCTGTGGCCGGGGAGAGTTTGGGAGGAAACTTTCTGTTCAAAGCAGATCCTTTTTGGGGGAACTCCAGTTTTCAAGAGCCCTTCCTGACTCTACAGCAAATATCTTACCAGGCATTTTCTGAACACAGGAGCGCACCCACACACTCACTCCTCTGGGGAAGGGGGTTTGCTCCCGGCAAGCTGCCACCATCCAACCAAGCAGAGGTGGCTGTCACTGAGAGGCAGGTGCCACAGCCTGTGCCAGGGCATCTAGGTTTGCCCATTATTTGCTTCACCCCACCCCCATCACAAAGCTCCTCTTACATTATTTTCCACTGACTGATACCAGGCTTGGGACACTCAGGCTGCAAAGGGCTATTTTAAGGTTCCATGTCTTGAGTTCAGGCAAGGATCTCAGGTTTAGTGACCAGACAATCCTGTTAGAGCCTCATTTCATAAGTTGGAAAATTCTCACAGCCCCATCATTGCTGAGGCCACAACAGAAATAGCTCTGACCTTTGGCCCAGAGAGGAAGGCGCAACCTTTGTTTCTCTCTCACGACTTCTGAGACAGAATTCTGAGATGACATATCTTGGTCCCTGCACCTGTCCAGTAATCATACATTTAGATATTTCTTTGCAGTCATTATCTGGATCATATATGAAAAATATGACTACGCTTTTATAAAGATTATTTATAACATATGTATGCTTGGTGGAATATGCATTCCTTTTCCAACTTGAGGCAAAGCCGGATGATGCACAGGAGACAAGCGTAAGTGTCTGCGGCAGCAGTGGGAAACACCGCTGCCGTCTGTCACAGAGGTCTTTCCCTTGAGCTGCCCTGCCGTCTGCCAGATGCCAGCCCTGAAGAGGCCTCTCTCGCTTGGAGATTTTACTTCTTTAGGACAGGGGTTCAACTTACCAGATGTGTGGGTTCTCATAAGTCACTGCCTTCTATTTTATAATGGAAACAATCACATCCACCCCCATAGCCATTCAATTGACCTCACATGTAGAAATCAGAGTTCTTTAAAGGGACGAATAGCTGCACACAAGCCTAGCAGATTGCGCTGTGAAATACTGCCATAGGGCCCTTTTAGGGGTTCAATGGTGTGACGTTTCGTTCTCCCTTGCCCTATTCTGCCAGTTGCCCCACTGATGAGACAGTTCTCGTGCATGAGAACGGCAAGGATCATAGGGCAACGTTCCAGTTCAATGCCTTCCGGTTCCAGAACATCCCCAAACTCTCCAAGGTTTGGTTACACTGCGAGACGTTCATCTGTGACAGTGAGAAGCTCTCCTGCCCAGTGGTGAGGATTCTGGCTGGGAGTGGAAGCTGTTACCCCACGGGGCTAGGGCTGGAGGAGCTGGGTTCGACTGGGAGTTGTGGGTCCCAGGTGGAGAGGTCTGGGCCTGGCCACCATGCTATACCAAAACTTGGCATGTCACACTTGCTGGGCCTGGTTTCAGCTCATCAATTCTGGTGACTGTTCCCTTTCCAGAGAACAATATAAGATAAACGTGAAGGTAGCAATGGCCGTGGGGATGCTTTGAAAAAGTTATAGGGATAAAGGAATCCAAGATTTAGGCAGAAATGTAAAGCTGGGCGGCTGCAGTCTGCATGGGACTCTGTTCAGAGAAATGCTGAATGTCTAGGTCACAGTGGACAGCACGGGGGGGGGGGGGCAGTGCCCCTGGTTCTGGGCCTTGCTGAGCTGCGACCACCTCCACGTGAACTTAAACGTGCTCAATTCGAACGACCATCCTCTGCCCTCCAAGTAGACCGGACCTCCGAGGCCTATGCTTCTAAAGAGGCTGCCAGCCCCTGTGGCCTGGAGGATCCAGCAGAAAGGAGAGTGCTATTCTCCTTCCATCAACTCATGCAGCTAGAAAACACAAGAAGGAAAAGAGACAAGAACCAGGGGGTGCAGGACCGAGAGGCGGAGGACCAGTTAGTACTTGATCAAAGGGTGGGACTGGAGCTGCAGTTTTAACAAGAAAACAACGAAGCAGAACACGTTTTGCAAGCGCCCTCTTCTATCCCTACGTTGAGTCACTTAAGTAAAAGCTTTCCTCCTTATAGAAAGATATGGTGCCCATTCCTCCGCTGGAATGCTAATGAGCTATTCCTGCAGGATATCCCCAGCCTGGAGAGCCAATGTAGGCATGCGAGTGAGTGTGCGTGCGTGTGTGCCTGCCTGCCTGCCTGCCTGCGTACTTGATGTGTCTGTTGATATGTATTGGCTGGGGACTTTGACTCGAAGAAGTTTCATTTTTTTTTTCTTGTTTACTTTGTTCATTCCTCCTCCTGGTCTTCAGAACTGCGACAAACGGAAGCGCATGTTACGTGACCAGACAGGGGGCGTCCTGGTTGTGGAGCTGTCCCTGCGGAGTAAGCTGCTTGCCTAAGAGTCATGTGCACTCTGGGCTGTGTCCACAGGCACGGCGGGTCTGAGCATTTTGATTGAATTGTCAAACCAGGCGTGCCTGTGGACACAGCACTCGTGGGTTCCTCGAGTGGCGGGGTCTGATCACGTGGATGCAAGGGTAAGAGGTTTGTTGACTACCCTTAACGTTTCTCGGGGCCCAAATCCAAATGTACCTGAGGAAGCAGGACGTGTTGAACTGATCTTCCAAACTGATCCTGAACAACAGAGCAGAATGCAGGTGACCTGGGAGTGTCAGCAAACCTTCTCTGCCCAAGCCTTGCCTGTCACTAAGTCCATACATGAACAAGACTCATAGAGACCCTGTCTCCAGGATCGTACCTTCTAGCCAGGAGAGAGATGGAACACACTGATGGAAAAGCGGGGTGCTAAGGGGTGGGGGATGGGCAGGGTGATGAGGCATGTGTGGCCGCAGGAGCTGACCCAGCACAGGCCTTATGGACTGTTGGGAAAGGTCAACATGACCTGGAGGGTGCTGTGAGCGGAGGGTGAGCCAGGCTTTGGAGTCGTACCTCGAAGCATAATGGCCATATCATAGAGCATGCCTCTTGATCCATGTGGGCTGCCAACTAAAACAGGTTTTATACACTTTCTTGTGGTTCTAAAAGTTAAAAAGAAAAACATGGTGCATTTAACTTCAAAAAAATGAAAATCTCAGTGTCAATAAAGTTTTATTAAGAGACAGAGACATGTTCCTGCAGATGACATTGTCTACGGGCGTATTCATACTGCAATGACTGCACAATGAGGCCATGCTTGCTATCGTAGCACACACATGTCACCTCAGTAGTCAGGAGGCTGAGGCAGGAGGCTAGCAAATTTGTAGGCTATCTGAGATACGTAGTAAGATCCTGTCCAAAAGTGTAAAGAAAAAAATATACTTCATGGCCCCTGCAAAGCTAAAAGTTTTTAGCTTTTTTTATCTAGCGCTTTCCAAAACATTCAGCGGCCAAGGAGACAATGCTGTGAGGGAGCCTTTGAAAACCTCAGCAGACACTTCCTCTGAAAGGCAGAGGCTCATGATTTAACGGGGTCGGACATGGTCAGAAACAGTTCTGATACTTCCCGGCTTGCTTCAACCTGCGTTCTCTCTCTTTGCTCACTCCAGGCAGCGGTTTTTCCAGTCTCTGTGAGTTCTCAGGTAAGGAAAGAGCCGCTTCTGAGAAGCGCCATTGTGCAATGCTTAGGGGAAGTGGATGTACATGTTTGAGATGTTTACTTTGGCTCCAAAAAAAAAAAAAAAAAATCCGTCATCGAAAATACACATCTTAAAATGCACCTGAGTAGGGCAGAGAGGGAGAGAGGTAAAGGGGCCTCACTCCAACCAGCCTGTGACCAAGAGGAAGGAACTATTTTCAGTGGATAAAGAAGCATCAGACCATACCCCACCCTCTGAACAAAGCCATCACTGGTGTCTTTCCTAAGATTCTTGAACTTGGAGAGCCCGATTTTTTATCAGATCATCTGCTCATTTAGCAAATATTTGAGGCCTTGCTGTGACTCTACTGTTTATTAGCAGAATGGCTAGCGTAAGAAAGAGCCTTGGCCCTCCTCCAAATTCAGCTTCCTCTGTGAAACTGGGCTGTGGCTGTCCCTAGCATACGTAGCACTCCATGAATTAATTATACTTAACAATACAGTGAACAAGACAAGGTCAGGGGGTGAGGGCCAGGGAAGTGATGTAGCAAGCAGCCACAGAAGCTTCTTAGGGGGAAAACGAGATGTCTGTTCACCAAAGGTCCACAATTTAGGCTTATGTGTTAGGACCTGTGTGTTGGTAGAGGTGGAGCATGCTAGGAGGTGGACAGGAATGACTGTGTAAAGTCTGGAAGCCTTACAACAGCCTCATCACCTTCAGTCTGGCTGAGTGCTCCTCGGCCGGACACAGCCGTTCCTCAGTGCTCTCTCTGCCCATCTCTCCCGCAGCTGTTCTCCATCACCTCATCCTGACGCTGGGGATCCGTGCTGTGCTGTAGATCGCTGGGCAGCTGCGGCAGCTCTCTCCAAGGCCACCCTGAGCTACGAAACATTCATTTATTGTGGCGCCAAAAACAACAAACAAAAGACCACATTGCTCGGTAGCTGGGAACAGCCCTTCCCCAAATCTGTATTCCCTGTGATTTTTTGTTTGTGAATTTGTTGATCTTCTGCCTTTGGAGCCACACATCCTCTTATTCTTTCCTGTGGCCATGAGACCCTGCCAATCCCCTCCATGAAGCTGGGGAGGAGTCCTCTCTTATCTACACAAATTAAGGCAGCATTTGAAAGCTGCTTTCATAGTAAAAAGACACACACGCACACACACCCATCATGTGCAGCTTAGTATTCGGAGGTGAAGACAGACCATAACCACAAAAATCAATGCCAAATGCAGAGACTCCACAGAAATAGCCAGCTTTACCCAGCAGGCACTCTATGATTGAGGCACAGTTCTAAGAACCAGAATGGAGCACCTAGGAAGGAGGTTCCAATCTTGAAACCACAATGTGGAAATCCACTTACAAACAATATATTTGCTCAAACTTTTGTAATGGACAAGAAGTGAGTTCTTGAGTACCTCTGTTTTATAGGGTTTCTCAAATAGATATAAACATTAGGTAGGTGTAAAATGCTTTATCCTTATAAGTGAATATATTTCTGTAATCAAAAGTAAATAGGAAATAGACTATGAGAGAAGTAAAACTCATCTTCATTTCACATAATAGTGTGGTATTGCCTTATAACGTGTATTTGCATAATAGAAAGCTCTGGCAGAGGACAAGGTCTCTGAGATTTGAGAGCCAATCCTCCCCCACACCAGTGGTGCCCAGTTCTCTCACTAGCCTTATCTGTTCTTGGAAGTCTTCCTGTCTGGAATGGTCCAATGCGTTTCACCTTCACTGAAAACATTCAAGCTTGTATTTGCTTCCATCTCGTTCAGTTGTTGATTGTAGGAATCTAACTAACAAAGCATCAGAAATGCAATACAAATACAGCCAATGATATCACGCGACAGCACACTCTCATAATTAGCCACCCCTGTGTTTCAGAATATTCCAACGTCGATGACTCACACTTGTCAACAAGAAGCAAACTGAAAGCCAACCTTGCTAGAGCATTGGCTGTGGGCGACAGGACAGGCTCAAGTGCTAAGGTTTTGGTTTTCTTTGTCACATAAATACTTGGCATTTGAGATCACATGTCAGTTTGTCCCTCTGTATTTAATGCCCTTGAGAGGTTTGGAGGTCTGCAGTTTGCTGATCCTTTTACAACTTGCATAAGTGAACTTAGAAATTAAACCAGTTACCAAGTCATGTTTTGCCATGGGTTGGGGCTTGAGGGTTCCATGCAGTCTAAACTTGGTGTCTAGCCAGTGATTCAATCAGTTTGGAATCTCCTCCTAATGTAAACTCAGAGTTAGCTGTAGTCAAGAATTACAGAAAATGTGTTTTATTGACTCTTACATAGTTTACAGATATCCAAGTTATAGGCCTTTGGCTGTCAGACTAAAACAATGTTTAATTCAATCATCATGATTTATGATCTTGTATCTCTGCCTGGTGCTATGAACTAAATAAAATGCCTAGGATAAGTAACCTCTGACTGCAGTTTACAGTGTTCATATATTATGATAAAAGCCAATCCCACAGTTCTTCCATGGGTTTCTAGACTCCACAGAATCCACATATTCCACAGAATTTCAATCGCTAGTGCTTCAAACACTCCAGTACAGGAGTTTGCAGACAGAGAAGCGAAGGAGGTCAAGCCGGCTTACATGGCCAACATTGACGAGGAATAGAACCACCTGGGTGATGCTTGCCTTTGAACTTCAGGGTCTCTTGCTAGTGATGAGGTGTGTGCTTTAGGTTTAACTGGTGGTGTTAGAACTTCTCTGTGATGGATTAAGAGAATGTACCCTCACTACAATGTCTGTTATAAATTCTAACTCAAACTAAACAAAAAAAAAGACACTCAGAGGGAAAAAAAAGATGCAGACTCCCTTAGGTATCTTTCCACACACAACACTAGATTTGAGGACACTGCTCCTGGCTGTAATGTCTATACTCGTTCCCTTTCTGTCTCTCTCCCTTCCTTCCTCTCTTCTTTTCTCCCTCTCTGTGTATATATACCTAATATATGTATGTATGTGTGTGTGTATATGAATATACAGGTGTGCATGTGGGTGTCTGTGTTTATATTTGTATGTGTGTTTTGTATACCTATACAGGTCTGGATATAAAATGTTCGTTATACTATTAAATGAAGACAGATTTAATGAAGTCTTTATTATTTGAATATAATTTAGGGAAGTTGATGGGCTAGGACTAGAAGCAAATGCACCTCACTGATACAAATACTAAGATGGAACAATAATAGCCAATTACCTTATCCAACCCCATCCCTGAAACTGAATAGAATTTTCTAATGCCCTTTTAATATAGCTATATTAGATTATTTGGTTGCTTTGTATTTTCTTTATAGCTCTATAGTCCTCAATGGTGTGCTCCTTTCAACTAAACCGTTAGATGAGAGTGAAAGAGAGTTTTATATTCTCTTATACTCCCAGTGTGTCAGCGAACAGAGCAAAAGCTTACACATGTTCCTGGAGTTTATAAAATTCCCAGATGAATGGGTGGTTGAGTGGATGGATGGATGGATGGATGGATGGATGGATGGATGGGTGGATGGATGGACGGATGGATGGGTGGATGGACGGATGGATGGGTGGATGGATGGATAGGTGGATGAGGGGTTAGAGAGATGGATGGACGGGAGCTTGGGTGGGTGGGTGAATGGTGTGATGGTTTGGATAAAAAGGTCCCCCGTATCCTCATAGGGAGTGGCACTATTAGGAGGTATGAACTTGTTGGAGTAGGTGTGACTTTGTTGGAGGAAATATGTCAGAAGGGGCAAGAAGGTCTAAAATGCTCAAACCAGGTCTAGTGTATCATTTACTTCCTGCTGCCTGCCAATCTGAATGTAGAACTCTCAGCTCCTTCTTCAACACCATGTCTTCCTGCATGATGTCAGGCTTCCTGCCATGAAGATAATGAACTAAACCTCTGAAACTGTGAGCCAGCACAAATTAGGAGTTGTCATAATCATAGTGTCTCTTCACAGCAATAAAACCCTAAGTAGGACAGACTGAATGGATGGGTGTGTGAGTGGAGGGTTAGAGGAATAGGTGACTGTATGGATGGGTCAGTGGGTAGATAGATGGATGGATGGAAAGGGAGTGGTCTAGCAATCTAACAGCTGCACAAGAGGTTATGGTGTGTTTTCTTTCATGGTGGAGCAAAGTGTTTAGAACAAGAAGCCATGATGCTCAAAAAGGGAAGAAGGTAGGAAGCCTGACAAGATGGACTCTAGCCCATTGTCTCCACACTGGAGTAGAAGGGAGGAGCTCCCTAACATAAATTCCTTCTGCCATCCCTCCTCCTGGGTGGCAGTGTAAGAGGCTCAGCCCTTAATACTGAGAGCTTTCAGGGGAGCAGAGCCTCTCGCCAGAACTGTACCAAGAACAGGAAGTCTCTGAAGGTCAGAGAAATCAGTCATGTGCCTCTGGGACAAGACAAAGTACAGTAGATGGGAACACTCAGGGGTGGTCACGAAGATGGGTTAATGCTGGGAACTCTTTCCTTGGTTGTGAAAAAAAGGCAAGAGTTATCCAGAACATTTTTGTAAACATTGTCATGAAAGTTCCCCAATAAATCAAAAGGTAGTTTGTTTCCCAAAGCAGTACTCAAAAATACCTCCACAGTGCACACCAACAACAAAGAAAATCTAACTGGTCTCATTGGGTCTCACTTCCTCGTTCCTGGGTGTTTCAACAGAATAAGGATCTTTCAAGGGCAGCATCTTATCCGAATGCTTTCTGCATTCCCAAGGAACCATGTAGGCTGGACACTTTATGGTACAAAGAAAAAGTGTTGTGAAAAAAAGTAGGATAGGGTGGGCTGTTGCCCAGCCTGTAGCCTCCTCTTTCCTTCCCTCAGAGGGAAATGGGTTTTAGGCAAATTCATGAGTTGTGACGCTAGAAACCTCTGTGGCTGGCCTTGCCTGGGAATGAGTTCCCTGTATCTTCCTCTACCAACTGCCCACCAGCGAGGGATCAGGAAGGACACCAATCAGACAGCACCCCCTAGTGGGAGACTGACTCAATGCCAGGAACTACAACAGTTGTGAAATGTTGGACACATTCCACCCCAAAAGGATCCCCACAGAAATCAGTGGCTCCACAAACATCTTGAAAGAGCCTCAGGAGCTCTCTGGAACTTTAGCTTCTTCCTCGGTAAACTCGGGGAGCGGGACAGTGAAGCCGGCTTTGCCCTTCAGCCAGAAGGTGGTCTGTTCTCCCTTGCCCTGTGGGAAGGGAAGGAGGGTCTGGTGAGCCAGAGAAGAGCAGCTGACAGGGAAGCCTGTCTGTGTCTGGCTTGCCTGGACAGGCAGCAAGCTATCCCTGAGAGAAACGCCTAACTGTGTACGGAATCCTGGCGACTACATGGGCCATCCACCATTTTCTTTTGTGGAAAGGGCTGCAAAGAATAAAGTTCACTGGCTCCTTGGCCCCCTGGTCCCCTGGCCCCTGGCCCCTGGCCCCTGGCCCCTTGGTCCCCGGCAAAAATCTTTAAAATATAATAAAATCTGAACTTTTAGTGTGACTTGGGGACCAACGAAGGCACCTCATACACATGTGTACGTAGAATCCAAATGTTCAGCCTAACCACCATGCCTGTTTTCCATATGCACAACTAAGTCCTCTAGTCGGGCCACCAGTCAGGAGATGACATCACCCCAAGAAGGTCATACAGTGCTGTCCCCAAGTCCTCTACCTGCTGGACGGACAGTGCCCTGGCACCAGGGAGTTGATGCCACTCTCTTCTCTCTCGCTTCTTTTTCAATGCCCGAGTCTTTGGCGATACTGGGGAATGAACCTGGGCCCTCACAGTTGCTAGACAAGCACTCTGCTACTGAGCTACAACCCAACCCTTCCCTGTTCTGTTTTCTAGGTTTCCACCCCTGTCCAGACAGCCATGGCGACCACCACTGCTGCTGTGTGCATAGCTCCAAAACGACATTGAAAATGTCTCCAGGGGAGCATCTGTTCTCTTCCCCTCCCCAGTCCCAGGAAAGGGAAGCCTGAGGGGGTGAAGGTCATCCATCCATTTCAGTGATGGGCGGGATGAGGCCAACCAATAGATTCCTGTTTTCTATTTTCTGGACATGTTGGTCCTAGAGACACAGAGGAAGAGAGGGAGTGTTCACTGTGGCCTTCTGTTCAAGCGGAAGCTGGGAGACCCTCTGGTAGCAGAAAGGACAGAAATCCCTTAAGGCGTGACAGCTGGAGCAGTTTCTATTGGTAGTCTGTATCTGCCCACCAGAGATGGCTGAGCCACCTCCACAGGGGCCCAGCAGACAGGAAAGCCTCCAGAGGGGGCCCAGCCCTGCACTGCCATGCACAGAATCACTCATCTCCCCCCATTATTCCATATGTCTATCAAGGTGAAAAAGAGTCGGCCTGGCCTTACCTTGACTGAAATGGTGCCTCGCTTTTGCAGGTGGTACCCTCCTGCTGCCACAAGAGCTTCTGCGGTGCTCTGAGAAACGTGAATCCGGAGAGCTGCCAGAAGCCAGGCATGGCCCAGTTACCATCTTGTCACTGGGGGAGCCGGGGAGGGCTTCTTTGAGAGGGGACCAACATTACTCTCCCTCTTTGTTCTCTAGAATTTCTCATGGAACAAAGCACACAGCTGGGTATCATAATCCCAGCCCGTGGGAAGCAGAGCTGGGGGAGGGAGACCTGGGGGGGGGGCCTGAAGTTCAAGATCAGTTTTTGCTACATTGAGAGTTCCGGGCTATCATGGGATTTAGTCAGACCATTTTCAGATACACAGGTAGGTAGATGGGTGGGTAGACAGACAGACAGACAGACAGATAGATAACAGGAAGGCAGGCAGGCAGACAAATTAAAGGACACATGATAGCCACTGTCTGGACCACATAGGTTGGGACCCTCAACCAAGGAGGCATTGGAAAGATACTTATGGATTCTTATTAGTGTTTGGATGAGGAACCCGGAGAAAACATACTGCTGAAAATGTTACCATAACAAAAGGTGCAGGTAAAAACAGTTTTGGAGCCTGCCTAGGCAGCCAACTTTCTGATTTACTGTAAACCTTTTTCTACAAGATGATAGGTTTAAATGTGTCTTAAAGTTAGTTGATTAACTTGGGTAATAAAGTAACTGTGTGTGTGTGTATGTGTGTGTGTGTGTGTGTGTGTGTGTGTGTGTGTTTACACATTGTGAGAAACCAGTACATTCAAAATAATGGCAACCTAAATTCTTGAAATTTAAATCACTGAGGAATTATTTTTTTCCATGTCTCAACTGAGAAATGACATATATATCAAGCAATTGTTGGTGCAATAAAATTACTAGAAAGCATACAAGAACATGGTGCTTCCTAGAGTCCTGATCATAGATTTCCTCTGTACCACCAGGAATACACTCTATATCAGAGATGGAAACACCTGCTGCTCACAGACCAGTGTTTGCAAATAAAGTTTATTGGAACCAGGTCATTCCTCTGTTTCAATTGTTGTGTTGGAGGATTACTGCCTCCTTTTACTAACCTAGGCCTAGTCCTGGAAGCTTCTAGTCTCTCTGCAATCTAACCTAGGCCCAAATTGTATTCAGCCTCTGAGACTTACTGCTGAATAAGCTCACACTTTCTTGTTCTTACTGAGCTCTGGGCTGGCTCAAACTCCTATCCCAGCTAACTTATTCCATCTGGATTCTTTCTCTCAGTCACTGAATTAACTGCTCCGCTTGGCCTCAAACTAACTCAAGCAATCTGCTCTGATCTTCTGGCTCCTTCCCATTCCCTGGCTCATTCTGTCTTCACCTGTGGTCTAGCTTGTTCTCTCTTCAACCTGTCTCTGTATATCTGTCCTAGTAAAACTGCCCCCTCTCTCTGTATTGCCCCTTAAATAGCTTTCTTTTCTTCTCTCTTCTCCTGAGAGTTGGGCTTATCCTATTCTGTCAAGTCTTTCTCTCATTCATCACTGTTTCTGCCACTCAATTACACATCACTTTCAAACATGGCTGTTTCCTTCTACAAACTATCTTGACCTTCATTGTTTGGGATTAAAAGCATGAACCACCCCACCTGGATCTAAGCTTTTCTTACCTGAAACTTACTCTATAATAGGCTGGCCTTGAATGCAGATCTGCTTGCCTCTGTCTCCTGAATTCTCCTTTAAAGATTTATTTCTTTTTACATATAGGAGTACTCTATTGGCATGTACACCTGCATGCCAGAATGTGGCATCAGAACCCAGTAAATATGGTTGTGAGGTGTCATGTGGTTGCTGGGAATTGAACTCGGGACCTCTGAAAGAGTAGATGGTGCTCTTAACCACTGAGCCATCTCTCTAGCCCCTGTCTCCTGGGTTAAAGGTGTGTTTGTATTCTAGTAGGATCACACAGAAGGTCTTTGGATGTGATCTCTTGTCAAAGCAGCCATGTTTTAAATTAACATTCCTCTACACATTTACATGTTTCTAAAAGTACTTTTGAACTATAACATCAGAAATAAGTAGTTGCAGCTGGGACTATATGGGCCCTAAAACCTAAAATATTTACTGTATGGCCCTACAAGAAAAATTTTCTAATTTTGTGCTTTGTGTTTATATGCTTTCATTATGTATAGATCTGTTAAGAATGGGAAGAAATTGGTAGGTTGGCTATTTTTACTATGTTAATCTACCGATCCATGAACAACATGGAAGATCCTTCTATCTTCTGATATCTTCTTTCTTCAAAGGCTTGAAGTTTTTGTCATAGAGAGCTTTTACTTGTTTGGTTAGAGTTACACCAAGATACTTTATATTATTCGAGGCTTAAAAGGTGCTGTTTCCCTAATATCTTTCTCAACCCATTTGTCGTTTGTATATAGGAGGGTTACTGATTTTTTTTTTTAGTTAATTTTGTATCCAGCCACTTTGCTGAAGGTGTTTATCAGCTGTAAGAATTCCCTGGTAGAGCTTTTGGAGTCATTATACTATTTTATCATCTGCACGTAGTGATAATTTGACTTCTTCCTTTCCAATTTGTATCCCCTAGATCTTCTTTAGTTGTCTTATTGCTCTCACTAAAACTTCAAGTACTATACTGAAGGGGAGGAGGAAGAATTGAAGGAGTCAGAGGGGTCAAGGACATCACAAGAAAACCTACAGAACCAACTAACCTGAACTGCCAACCAGAAAGCAGACATGGATCTGACCTGGGCCCTCTGCATGTATGTAACAGATGTGCGGCTTGATCTTTGTGTAGGACCCTAAGGCAGGAGCAGGAGCTGTCTCTGACTACAATGCCTGTCTTTGGATTCCTTTCCCCTAACTGGGCTACCTGTCTAGCCTCAATAGAAGAAGAGGTGCCTAGTCTTACTGCAACTTAATATGCCAAGGCTGGTTGATATCCTTGGGAGTCCTCCCCTTTTCTGAGGAGAAGGGGGGAGGGGTAAATGAGGTAGTAAGGGGAAGGGACTGGGAGGAGAGGATTAAGGGGAAGCTGTGATCAAGATTGGAAGGAAATAAGTAACTTCATTAAAAAAAAAAAAGAAAGAAAGGGGGGATTTTGAAAAAGAATGAGAAGAAAGGCTGAAGGTGTGGCTTGATGGGTTAAAATGCTAGCTATGCCAGTATGAGGCCTGAGTGTTGATTCCCAGCACCCACATAAAAGCTGGGTATCATTCATCTATAACCCCAGTGTTGGGAAGTGGAGACAAGTGAATTCTGAGAGCTCTCTGGCCACCTAGCCTAGTCAGGAAACTTTAGCTTCAGTGAGACCCTGGCTGAAAAATTAAAGTGAAGACTAGGAGAGCAGTAGAGAAAATACCTGACATATGCCTTCTACGTACACATACACACACACGAGAAAGAGAGAGAGATTTAAGAGAAAGAAGCCATGTGTGTTTCTGTAGCTCCGCAGAGCACACAGGGAAAAAAATATCACTGTCTACACAGCTGGCACTCAGGTTGTCTCCTGGGAGTAATCTTATCATGCGGATGATAAGAGACAAAATACAGACGAGTCTTCTAAAACACCCACTGGTTAGCAATAGAGGACCAGAGGACAGGGACACTGTGCTTGCAGAGCAAGTAATACCCACGTAAACTGCTGCTTTCCATTCTGGAGGCCATGTTCACAGTGTCTCCAAAAAGACAGTACCTGGGCATGGTGATGCCCACCACGCCAGCAACCACAGGACCTAGGGAGGGAACAATAGGAGGGTCTAACTGCCTGCATACCCCAAGGCTGGGCTCCAAGCAGGCCACCAAGTCCAGAGAGGAAGTTAATTCAACAAGTATTTCATTAAGTGCCCCCATGGAGCCATGCTTGACAATGTGCATCAAGGAGTCCCTGCAAAGATCCAGAGATCACACACGCTTCCCTAGAAATCAAGTCGAACCCTAACCATGTTGATTATGAACTGCAGATGTACACAAAGCCTGCAGCAGCACAAACTTGAGGAATTTGTTATGACTGGAGAACAGGTGTGCTTTCAGTACCATGGACATGTAATTGGGGGGGGGGGCAGATGGTGGAGGGACTCATGCAAAAGGACACTATGAACCATTTTCTCAAGGTATCTTGAGCCTGTATCTTTCAGGAGACTGAAGCAGGCCAACCTCAGCTGTGTTGCAAGACTCCCTCAATATTTTTCTCAAAAAAAAGTAATAAAGGAATATTAAATTAAGTAAGAATCATTCATCTGCAAGTCATAAGACCACGAGTTTGACAAAAAGAAAATTTATCAAAGGAACACCAAAAGGGAAGCATGAAGGAATGTGGCCCAGCCTGGCTCCCACACTCTGCCTGCCTCTGTTTCTAAAACATCTCGGAGTTTCTATGCATCCTTATTTGCACCAAGCAGCTCAACCAACTGAAAACATATGTGCATTGTCTGGTCCCCTGGCACTATAACCATTTAAAGGCTGTGTTCCTAAAAGTCTCAGGCATAGCTGCTCAAGCCCAGAGCCACCTGTGGACACGCAAGGACCGCCTGCCACCTGCCATTAGTTCTGTGTACCTGTATGGAGGCCTATCCGGAGCTTGAGTCTCTCCTCAGGCATGTGCCCAATGTGGAAGTGGGTGGTGGCGCTGAGTAAATGCAAGGCCACGGTGGCAATTTCAGCTGCATGCTGGGTTCCGTTGCGGGTGGGGAGCCCACTGGCCACCATGTATGCATCCCCAATGGTTTCAACCTGGAAATGACACAACGAAGGACTCACAGGTTTCCGGAGGGGTGGCACTGGACAGAGGGGGAAATTGGCTTAGACAACAAGACCCCCACATTCCCAGACCCTCTCCTGAGGCTTCATTGTCCAAAGCTTGAGTCTTGCTGGTGTCCACTCCACCACATCCAGCATTTCTTCAAGTGTCTGTTCTTGCCCCCGTTCCTCACAAACCATTCCTGCTCCCCATAACCACTGCTTGCACCTCTGAGATGTGATAACCCTGGTACCTTGGACATTTCCCTAGTCCAAGATCAGAATAAGCTAGACAAACAGCCTCATACAAGTCAGGTAAATCCTGATGGATGACGTGGATCCCTCCAGTGGAGTCCATATCAGCCTACCCAAAATGTCCTCGTGCCTAACGGCTTAGAAATGCCTACACACCATTTGATTCATTCACTCACACATCTAGACATTTATACATTGACATGTGTTCCTCTATAACAGCCCTCCTAATAAAACCAGAGTCCAGAGTCCTTGTTAGCACAGAAGAAACCGATGACTAGAGACCCAAGGCATCAGCCTTTTGCAGACACAGTTGTATCCAGTAGAACCCAAAGATGATGCGGAAAGTCCCTGTATCGTCAGGTGGTGGGAACACTTCTCTTCTGATAATGCCAAAATTCCAAAAGTCAGTTATTCAATAGGTCTAACCTGATTCAAGGCCACTTTTCCCCTCCCGAGAACAATCTCACAAAACAGACCAGGTATAATAGCCACCCCTGCCAAGTGCCCCTGGGGAGGGAAAGTGAGGCAGAAAGTCTGGGGACACTGGCCTAGGCAGAGCAGGAGTGGGGATCAGCTCCTAGAGTCACTGTGACATCCTTTCTTTCACCCTTGGACACTCATCATCTAGTGGAGAATACTTGGGGATACCCATTGAGCCACTCAAGGGATATAGCCACACTGTCCTCCAAACCTTGTCTATCCCAGGACATGGGTAGAGATAGAGGCAGCATTCCGGGGTCATGGGTAAGGTGGTACAGCTGTGGCTGCCTAACAGGTCTGTGGCGGCACAGGCACACAGCACCCCTGTGATCTGACCCTCCCCACAAAGAGGTCAAATGACCCACAGAGCAGCATCAGCACCACTACACACATCACTGCGGTCCTCCTCCATCTCCTTCTCAGCCTGTGGGACCATGTTTATATGCTGCCTGAGTAGCGCTACACAGGCGATAGCTGCCCTCTCCCCTTTGGCCTCAGCCTGATAGTGTAGATTTGAAGTGTCTGTATTCACTCTGGATTTCTTGGATCATTCCAACAAAAGCAAGATCCACAGGGGATCTATAGGTAGCAGCTTTGAGCTTCCTGGGGTCTGAAGGACACAATTCAGTACTGGCTGACATCTCCTTACAAACACGGTTACTGTTTGATTGGAGAAATGGGTGAAGAGAAAGAGTATCTATAGCAATGGTGTGTGTGTGTGTGTGTGTGTGTGTGTGTGTGTGTGTGTGTGTGTG